TGCGGCCAAGGTGAAGCGACGCGGCGGGTTGACGCCGGAGCATGATCGATGATCAGCTGATATCAGACATGAATACGCCTGGGAGCAGACTATAGGTGCAAACGAAGTTTATTTGATCAAAAGTGTAACTGCAGACTTATATGTTCACAAAATTAGCTCCACTAGATATTTTCTAACCAAACGAATGTAGATACCTGGTCCTCATTTTAAGATACTTTCATAGTTTGTTAATGGAAAGTTTTTATGGTGTTTCGTTCTTAAGTAGGAATAAAGCCTTAAAAGAAAGAAAATTCTTTACCTTTAAAAAGAATCAACCATTAAGATTAAATGAGAACAGTGATCAGCAGAAGAGCAAGCTTAAAGAATGGAGCTAGAACACGATATGTTCCAATACAAAATTGAAGTTTTTATGGAATCTTCTGTCTCGCTTTTTCCAGTTGTTTACGATCTTAGAGGGTTATCTCGCGCATATAACTCTGATACTATTTCCAAGAATAATGAGCACTAAACACTTTTATGGTGCAAATTCTTTCACTATGAAGGATAATATCAAACTGAGCGGAAGAATACCAACAAACACCTCAGCTAAACAAGTGAAGCATTCAAAACAAATGAATAGGTACAATCAATTTTACCACTTGGAGAAGATGAGACATTACAGTAATGTCTAGAATATTCTACACGGGTTAAGTTTACTGGGACAGATAACTTCACAGTTGAACATTATCATCAGGCATCATTACCAGTGCGATTTGCAAGGATATTATTGAAGTATATGCTATAGAAGTCCATAGGTTGTGGAATAGCCATTTTTTGACGATCAACCTGGAAATGTTGTTATGGAGAAACACGCGGCGCAAGCAATGCAATACCTCGTCGAGAACTAAAAACGACGAGCCGGCTTCTTCCAAAGCTTTTCGTGCATCGGCGCAGCCAGCCATGAACTGTAAAATCCATACCTCCCGGAGGCTGTAAAGAAAGAAAATTTCAAAATTTTTAGCGATGATACTGTTTTCCTGCTACCTTTTCATTGCAGAAAGTGTAAACAAGCTCTGGCCAGTTATTCGTGGGCAACCGCGGATATCAAGAAGTCTGAGGGTTGAACAGTTTTCCACGAGACTATGAATGCCTCCGTCCGATACAGAAGTAAAAGCAACAAATAATTCGACTAGTCTAAACACAAAACAATCTCCGTTGAAAAAAAGGCAAATTGCTTAGATAATATGAAATATCTCATACCTTTTCAAAAAAGAGATCGATTTCATCACAACGTCATTGAGATACTTAATCTCGGATAAATTCAACACTTGCAAATTAACTAAGAAATCAGGAACTTTGATGAGATCAGCATTCGATATCCCGTTACAGTGACGAACTTCCAATTTGATAAGGTGCTGAAACACATTTCTATCGCCACCAAGGATTTTATGAAGAAAAGGAAAACAAGAATGTAAACCCTTTTCTGTAGAATATGTTGGAAACTTTTCGAGTTGCTCGACAAGTTATGTACATAGTCTAGATTGAGTTCACGCAATTCAGGTAACGTTCCAGGGTGCGCTAAATCATCCATGGCACAATAGCCAATGATAGAGCCGCTCAAGCATAGGCGTTCCAATCTTCAAAAAACTGCTTAAATGAAGATAATCGAACGTAAGGAAGTCAACTTATAACGGTTTTCATCCTTTAGACCAGAAATTTGAATAAAAAGAGCAAGTTTGAAGTTTAGATGAAGTTCGGAGGAGACTACTCACGTCTTTGGCATGCATTTGAATGCAATGTTACTGATATTGGCATTTTGAATTGTAAATGAGCGCAATCTCTCCATTTTTCTTCCCATCAAAGACAAAACATGATTAGTGACCGTAGACTGTGAATAAGCGTTTGCAGAGCGCACAATATACCCTTCGATTCTGAAAGTACTTGGATTGATTGTAAAAGAAATGTGTTTAAAGGATGTTAGAAACGATTCTCATATTTCTATGGTACTTGCAAATAATTTTTCAAAGTAATGAAGCTACTTAACGGTAATTGGCAGATCTAGAAAAAAAAAA